TGTTATATATAGCTAAAGGATTACTAGGGATTTGGGGGCAGGTTTTAATAGACAGAAATGGAATAAAATTATTGTGTACTTTTAGGAGCAGTAAAATCATTATTGCTGTTCTGTTTGTAGTGAGTGGCTAACACTGGAAAGTTTATAGCTTTTTGATCAAAACAGAGCCCATATCTGTAGTTCAGCCAAGCCAATCAACTCAAGTCATGTGCATAAAAAACGTTTTGTTCTGGTTTTAGTTTATTTTCTCAGTGATGTGTGCTATGGAACTATGAACAGATGGCTACCTAATGACCTGAGTCTTTGCTTAAGGCATCGAACTGGTTACTCTTGAAGGTATGGAAATTTTGCCTGGTCTCATGCCTGTTCCAAGGGAAATCTGATAGCATGGCTCTCATGATCTAATTAATCAATGGTTAATAAGTTTAATAAGTGTGTAATTTTTGTTTTATTGGGTAGAAATGTCTTTCAAGTGATTTTTTTTCCCCTCTAGGGTAAAAGTGGTTCATGCTCAAAATTAAAATTTTATATTGATTTCCCACCAAAATAATTAAACATTACCCTAAATAACACTCAAAACACTGGATTTTATTAAAACATATTTTTATGTGTATTTTTAAAAATTATGGCACTGCTTTTTCTCTGAATATGTATAATTAAACTTTTTTCTTAGAATTCTATATTTAAAGTTTTGATCCCTAAAGTCATATATATTGTATTATTTTTTAATCTCTTTTTAAGAATATTCGATGTAATTTGAATAATAAACTATTTAGAAGTAATTTACCATTTGATAGATGGCCAGCTTTGCTTGGAAGCTTCACTGTCATAATTTAGGCATGAAAGCCTCTAAGGCAGCGGTTCTCAACCGGTGGGTCGCGACCCCTTTGATGGTCGAACGACCCTTTCACAGGGGTTGCCTAAGACCATCCTGCATATCAGATATTTACATTATGATTCATAACAGTAGCAACATTACAGTTATGAAGTAGCAACGAAAATAATTTTATGGTTGGGTCACAACATGAG